CCCTTGGCCCCTTCGACCGACGGCCTCGACTACGGCCGCAGCCACGTCGACGCCAGCTCCTCCCACCCGCGGACCTCGCTGCTGCGCCAACACCTCGAGGCCCAGTCCCCCGGCGGCGGCGGCGGCGGCGGCGAGGGCGCCGCCCCCTTCGACGCCGCCCTGCCCGGCGAGGGCGCGCCGCTGCTCGCCGCCGGCGGCAGCCACCGCTCGGCCTCGCGGGACCCCGAGCGCAAGCACGCCGCCGACCACGCCGACCTGCACCACCGCGCCAGCTTCAGCAGCAGCACCCGCCGCGCCTCCATCTTCGCCGTGCCCCCCCACTCGCGACCCCGCCCCTTGTCGGCAGCTACAGCTCCTACCGCACCTACGGCACCCTGCCCGACGTCGACGCCCCCTCCATGGCCGAGGCTGGCGATCTCTGGCGCCAGCAGCAGGCCGACGCCGCCGACCTGCCCGCCGGCGAGCACCTGCCCATCCTCGTCAAGGAGGTCGAGCAGGACGGCAAGATCGTCCTGGCCGTCGAGGGCCAGTCGACCCTGCCGCAGACCATCTTCAACTCGATCAAGTAGGCGCCCCGCCCTGTGATGAGCAGCTCTCTCTATCACTGTCTCTCCCTCTCTCCCTCTCTCTCCCTCTCTCTCTCTCTCTCCCTCCCTCTCTCTCTCTCTCTCTCTCTCTCTCTCTCTCTCTCTCTCCCTCTCTCTCTCTCTGTTACTTCTCCAGCAGGGGACAGCGCGCTGACCGTACCCCCCTCCCAGTGTCCTCATCGGCGTCGGCCTCCTCAGCCTGCCCCTCGGCATCAAGTACGCCGGCTGGGTGTGCGGCATGACCATCCTCCTGCTCTCCGCCGCCGTCACCTCGTACACCGCCAAGCTCCTCGCCAAGTGCATGGACCTCGACGCCAGCCTCATCACCTTTTCCGACCTCGCCTACATCTCCTACGGCCGCAACGCCCGCATCGCCACGAGCATCCTCTTCACCATGGAGCTCCTCGCCGCCTGCGTCGCCCTGTTCGTGCTGTTCGCCGACACCCTCGTCCTGCTCTTCCCCGGCGTCCTGACCCTGACCATGTGGAAGTTCGTCTGCGCCCTGCTGTTGATCCCCCTGAACTTCTTGCCGCTGCGCCTGCTGAGCTTTACGAGCGTCATTGGCATCATGTGCTGCTTCTCCAGTGCGTCTCACCCCCTTTTTTTTTTTTTTTTTTTCCCACTTCCCCTTCTTCTCTCTCTTGTATTGCGTCCATACTGGACGACCATCAAGCATGGTCCGTGTTGCTGACCGCGTGATAGTTGTGTCCATTGTTGTCATCGACGGCCTCATCAAGCAGGATACGCCGGGCTCGCTCATCGAGCCGGCCCGCACCTACCTGTTCCCCGCCAACTGGCTCACCCTGCCCCTGTCCTTCGGCCTGCTCATGTCGCCGTGGGGCGGCCACAGCGTCTTCCCCAACGTATGCAACCCCCCCTTGTTGGCCCTGTGAGCATCGCGCGCAACGTACAGACGTCACTAACACGGCCTGCCTCAAGATTTACAGGGACATGCGCCACCCGCAAAAGTTTGGCAAGGCCATCAAGGTGACCTTTTCGTTCTCGGTACGCGCAACACAGCGATCCCCCTTTTCTCTGACTCGCCATGGTACGCACACGCTGACCGCGCCAATCTCTGCACATCCAGTACGCCCTCGACGCTGTCACGGCCGTCGTCGGCCTCCTCATGTTCGGAGACGGCGTCCTCGACGAGATCACGGCCAACATCCTCAAGACGAGCGGCTACCCCCGAGCCCTGACCATCCTGCTCTGCGTCTTCATCGCCATCATCCCTCTCACCAAGATCCCCCTCAACGGCCGCCCCATCATCGCCACCGTCGAGGTCCTCGCCGGCCTCCACCACCATGCCATGGCCGACAGCGACGGCCTCGTCGGCCGCTCGGCGACCTTCCGCGGCTTCATGCGCATCTTCATTCGCGTCGCCACCATTCTCGTCTTCCTCGTCATCTCCATCCTCTTCCCCTCGTTTGACAGCATCATGGCCTTCATGGGCAGCGCCCTCTGCTTCACCATTTGCGTCATGTGC